CTACCTATCTGTTTCACATCGAACAGCAAGCCTAACCGCAAAGAATTCCACCCTGAGATCATACTTGGACTGTAATTACGTCACTTGTCCTTGACTGCACGGCGTGCAACCAAGATGGGGCCGTGTGTAGCGATTCCTAAATGTTGGGATCTTTCCTAGTGGCACGCAACAAGCGATAGGTTGAAGGATCGCGCTATGGGGCTAGTATTGTGACGTAACCGTTCAAAGCGGTTAGTGCCATGGACGCTTCTCTGCCACGGACTTCCTACAGTAGAAGTACCTCACACCAACACGTCAACTCCTCCCAGGTAAATGGGTAATCGGGCGCAGGCGGCACATACAACACTCATCGCAAGGGAAAGAAGTTCCAAATCGGATCCGCTCAGGCCTACCGAGCTTTTCTTTATTCCGAAAGCTGATTGCTTTCAAAGCAAGTGAGCTCACATCACTCTCATCTCTGCCATAATGACTCAACTCTGCCACAAGACCGTGAAAAGGCTCGTCGCGCTTGTCGCGTGCGGCGATTGGTAGCGAGAAATAGCGCCACGCCTACAGAGTGGGCGTGCCTTACAATTGCTGTGGAACACACTCACCTGTTGTTCCTCCTCCAGGCTTTGTGGCTGAGATGATTCCCGGAAAACGTAGACAACGGAAATCGACTCCAAATTTATGATGGTAATATTCTCCTAGTCGTTCAGCATATACCTTCAATGATGAATAGCTTAGACAAGGATGAATCTTTGGACTGAAGTCGATAGCGCACTTTCGATACTCCGTAAATGGTGGTGGGCTCTTGGATGGTAAGGTCAGGAACATTGTCACGAGGCGTCGTGGGTCCAAAGGCACCGATCGTCGAAGGAATGAACACCTTCAAATCGTGTTTTCTGAAAAGAATATATGTATTCCTTAGAAGTACCATGTCAAACAGCATACGAATATATATCAGTATGACAGCGTGAGAGGCGTATGCCCTATCTAGGCCCTATTTTTTCCTGGTCTTTGGGATGTTCAGGAAGCAAAAACATCAATTTTTCAGCGAAATTTTCATTTTGGACGCACGCCCCGCCCACTGGAGGCGGAGTTTAGCATGGCCAATATATTCCCTTAAGAGCGACTCATACTCTACCCATTCCAAACTTGACCCGCCCTCCCTAGGTGATTTTTGAAGGAAGAATTATAAACATGTGGGGGACACTTGCGAATTTTTGGGGAGCGGTCAGACAAACAAACTCTGGTTTATATAATAGTATGATATTGGCGGAAGTGGTGTAGTGGCAAGTGGCACGCTTACCACGCGAGCGGTCCGGGGATCAAATCCTGGGTCGTGAGTCGCCCGGGCCAACCAAGCCTTCCATCCCTCCGGGGTCGGTTAATTGGTACCAGACTTGTCTGGGAGGATAAAAACACTGACTTGTACATCGGCTGGCCCCCGCAAGTCATTGTATAGGCCACATCGCATTCAAACGCCACTACGAATGTACAAATGGAAGTAGAATGCGTGCCGCATCCA